AGTCAGAGGTGGGATTTGCCGGTTCTCTGAACTATTCAAAATTTCCGCTACCGGTTCTCCAGAACTGGTCAGAACCTGCTGAATACTCACCCCTGGGCTGCGGGCCAAATCCAGCCCACGATGTTGTCAGTTCCGGCCTGCAGGGCCGTCCTGGAAAATGTAAGGGGCCGGCCTGTGTGGCTTCCGACTGGTGTTCCCAATGCGAAGAGGAAACATGTCAGCAGTTTGGGAAGTGGCCACGCCCACCCAGTTGGCCACCACACCCACCCAGTTGGCCCTGCCTGGTCGCCCTCCCCGAGATCAACCACAGCTCTGATACAGCCCTCAGTGAAATTGAGTTTAACACCCCGATGTACAACCATTTGTTTTAGTGATAGTTCAAAGCTACAATGGCACTGAAAAAAGTGACTTATTACTGGTTTTCAATTTATGACCGTTGTGGCATCCCCATGGTCAAAATCCAGGCACTTGGCAACTGGCAGGTATTTGTGACAGTTGTGCTGTCCTGGGAAGTTGCGATCACCATTTGTAACCTCCCCAGCCAGCTTCTGACAGACAAAGTCAATGGGAGAAGCCAGATTCACATAACAACTGCAGTGATTAGCTTTAACAGCTATGGCAAAAAAAAAAAGTTCATAAAATGAGGCACAACTCAGTTAACAATGGTCTTGCTTAGCACATAAATTTTGAGCTCAATTGTTGTCATAAATCAAGGACTACCTGTAATGTTAAGTTTCCCTTCTGGATATAGAGCTCCTATATCAAAGGTTCACAGCTGTTGAAATAAAGAAAAAAGGGCTTTGGGACTAACGTGTGTTTGTTAGTGTCTCAATATCCTTGGTCAGAACAATGTATACAAATCCGTACAGACATAGAATGTTTTATTAGTAAGACCGTAGAGAAACATATCCAAAGTTCATTATCTGAACTTTAACCAAAATCTACAAGCGGATCTATTACCTACAGAACCCTCCCCCCGGTGGAATTCTTAAATATTAAAATCACAGCCCAAGCACCTTTCAGTATATTTGGGGATGTCACTAATGTTTCCATTTGTCATTCTGAATTGTCACTAATCTGACTTTCCCTGCTCTGTGAATTAAAATGCCACGGGGCAACACAGTTTATAGGGATGGACAGAATTCAGTGTTGAATCATAAGCTGACCTTGGAAGCAAGCGTCATAACTTTTTTATTTCAAAAGGTCAAATATCCCCTGCCAAAATATGGACTTAATCAGTCCATTTCAGTAATAGTGTCAAAGAATCCTGGAACTTTTTTTTTTTTAAACAGACACAGAGACTTATATGGGCTTATGTAACCTTTCTCAAGAATTCTAATAATAACATTATGATTTTGAACTCTGCATAGAGCAGCTTTCTTTGGCTCTGAGTTAAGTCCTATCTTGCTCTGCTTTTTTTAGTTGTATTTAATTCCAGATAAATGAATATTAGCAATAGTTGTCATGTTAAATCTACCTCAAAGTCTGAACCACTTAAGAAAATACCTACATGATTTCCTGAATTGTTTTCTCTGAAAATCTGTCTCTCCACCTTGTGTCTTCCTGAGTCTGCTGGAATTTCAGTGTCCAGATTTCCCAGTGAATTACAATCCCAATGCATGGGAAGGACATCTGGTGAGATACTATTTCCTGTAGACTTTCCAAATGGTTTTGTTGCATTCCTTTTAAAATTAGGATCTGCATAAGCTTCATTATCACACTTGGCAACCCCACCAAGCAAGTTATGCCAATCTTATCCAGGTAGTGCTTGTTTTTAGGGGGGGACTGAATAGTAAAGCAATTGGATTTCCAGGTGAGGTCTAAAATGTGTTCCACAATGACCTTCTTCCAAGCGACATTTGATGTTGACCTCTTTGGGTTAAGGGAACACAACCTGAATGCTGGACTTGCAGACATTCTTGAAGAGGTATTACCTGCAAACCATTCTTCCATTTGCAAATGTGATCATGTGGGGTCCAGGTGAGGTCTTCTCTTGGGTAGACCTTCAGTTTCTCTAGGACTGGCATTCATGATCTCTAAACCAGCCCACTGTATCTATCCTAATTTTTAAAAAGTGGGTGTGATGTACAAGGCAGGAGCTCAAGGTGAGTTGCAGGCTGCCATATTGCTAGAAACATGAGCCTCCAAGTCAGCCTTAAGTAAGACGAGTTACATTTGGTAAGGCAGGGGTATCAAACTGAAGGCCCGGGGGCCAGATCCGGCTCACGGGGTGCTTATTATACCTGGCCTGCGAGGCCGCCCTGGAAACAGCAAAGGGTCAGCCTATGGTGCCTCTGCCAATGAAAATGGAGCTCGGGAGAGTTTCCATTTTCACTGGCAGAGAATTGCAAGAGGCCATTGCAGAAAAAACGGAGCTCACGAGGATCATGGGCAGCCCTCCTGAGCTCCGTTTTCAGTGGCAGAGGGTTGCAGGAGACTGTTGCAGCCAAAAACGGAGCTCGGGAGCCGGTTTTCACTGGCAGAGCATTTGGGCCACCACAAGTGCCCCTGACATGAGTGATGTTGAGCTGGACACGCCCACCCCGGCCACACCCACCCCGGCTCCCCGAGGTCCAACACAATCCTGATGCAGCCATCAATGAAATTGAGTTTGGCATCCCTATGGTAAGGCATCATGGGATATTTCTAGTTCTCTTTTCATGAGCCGAACAACCAATGCTTCTCAAAATTTAGGAACAGTGACTGATTAGATTACTTACACAGTATGAAACTCTTAAACTGACATCTTAGAACTTTTGAATGTTAGGATTTTTTTTTAGTGGAGAGATTGAGTTCTTGAAAAGTTCAAGAAAGACAGCTCATTCCAGAAAGTCTTCTGCATGATGTTGATGCCTGTGTTAGAAGATCCAGGGACATTGTAGTAGACAAGAGAAATAATCAAGAGGTTGGATCAAGGCTGATAAGCAAAAGTAAGGGCCATGTTATTTTATTGCCATAATGGCTGAGAAGGTAGATAGAATGTTTGCATGCATCTCATTCAAGGAGAGGCAGCGCTGTGTAACAGTTTGCAACGCCATCAAAAGATTTTGCAGAAATGATAACAAATTTTCATCTGGCAGGAAGACGTGTAGCAAATTAACACACTACACGTAGTTGTCAACTTATGACCACAATGAAGAGCCACGGTGGCGCAGTGGTTAGAATGCAGTACTACAGGCTACTTCTGCTGACTGCTGGTTGCCTGCAATTTGGCAGTTCGACTCTCACCAGACTAAAGGTTGACTCAGCCTTCCATCCTTCCGAGGTTGGTAAAATGAGGATCCAGATTGTTGGGGGCAATTATGCTGACTCTGTAAACCACTTAGAGAGGGCTGTAGAGCATTGTAAAGCGGTAGTGCTAAGTCTGAGTGCTATTGCTAAGTGCTATTGAGCCCAAAATTTCTGTTGCTAAGCAAGACATCTATTAAGTGAGTTTTCCCCCATTTTACAATCTTTCTTTCCACAGTTGTTAAGTGAACCACTGCAGATGTTAAGTTTAGTAACAAGGTCTGTAAAGCGGATCTAGATTCCCCATTGACTTACAAGTAGCAATAGCCCTTAGACTTATACACCGCTTCACAACGCTTTACAGCCCTCTCCAAGAGGTTTACAGAGTCGGGATATTGCCTGTCTATAAAATATCTGGTATATGTGTGATAAATAGATCTATAGCTACATCTGTATTTATTTGTATCTTTAGGGATTGCATAATGTTGGTGGTTTCATGTTTTTGAACTTTTAAAAATCCCTTTCTTTCTTTCTTTCTTTCTTTCTTTCTTTCTTTCTTTCTTTCTT